TTCAGGCTATCGGCTTGTTTTTTTTACTATCAAATCTGTTATAAGCCATCATACTATCGGCCTGCTATCATCTAGGCTGATTATTTGAAGATATAAAGATGTTATTTTTGATTTCGACCAGTATAAAGTGTGTGCTGGGGTTTGGGTGAACTCTGCAAGGGCAGAAGTAGATAACGGTAGCAGCTTCAGCTCGCAAGTACTTGTCCTTGAACTCAGCATAAGTTATCTAAGTCTAAGTTAGCCGGATTGTGAGTATGGAAAGCTCTAGCTAATAATGTCTCGAGAATAAATTAGTCCTAAGGGTATTGGAAAAGCATCTGGGACTTCTTATAACAAGTAATTGTGGTGGGGATGTACTAGTGATACAAGCTAGATCTGCATGTAAATGTACTAGGATTCTATAAGTGAGCCCCTCACCTATAAACTTGAATAAAACTGTAGTCTCAAAGAGGCTAGTTATAAAATTTAAAAAAAAAAAAAAGATTATTTATAAAGTTTTTGGGAGGTTAATTTATCCCAGATTTGGGATTTGGGCACATCAAATTAGAATAGTTTGAGATTTGGGCGGCAAGCATAACTATCTTTCTATTCATATTTAAAACTCTTTTTAAAACTCTGATGCTAATTATAAATTTATTATATTTAAGATTATTATATATCACTCGAAAATGGCTTTTTCAAGCCATTTTTCTGGTACGTTTGCTATGATTTTTGTATGCAAAAATAGACTATTAGTAAAACAGGAATACCAGGATGTAGAATTGTAGTGAATTGAACAATGATTAAAATAATGACAGAGTAAATAATGGGTAAACCAATAAAAAAAAAAAAAATAAGAATATACAATAATCATAACTTACCGAAGGTAATAATGATGATAGGCTCTTTTAAAAGCTATAATTATTCCCGAATCCATTGGTTGCAATCTTGAAGTTGTATATTTAGGTAAAAAATGAACATTTACATAATAAAGAGTTAACCCATCTAGCTTATAACTAGAACAATTATCAAGAAGCAAAAAAACACGCTGACCTTTATGTTTTTGTAACATTTGGTGGTTAAAATCCTGAAGCTACTCTTGAAACAGAACTGCAAGCATCCAAGCTTTAGTGTTGTTTCTATATGTCATAGGTAAATTATTAATTTTCACATTTTTGAAACATCAGGGTTTGGCATATTTGCCAATTATAAGTGGGGTTAACTTGTGAGATCCATCAGCATTCGAATATAATACTACAGAAAAACATTTCTTATTCTTTTTGCGCTCTGCAATTCTTCTTGTAGCTAAAGTTCGATTTAGTTCCAATCTGCAATATATATATATATATATTTTTTAAACAAGCAAAAAAAAAAATGTTTATATATAGTGTAAGTACACAATATTAATAATTAGCATTTTTTTGTAATATATATTTTTTATTAACAAAATTTAACACTGTTTAATATTAGAGTAAGGTTAGCTTTAAAGCTTAGAGAAAATTATAGTTTATACTAAAATTTTGTAAGGAATCCTTTTTTTTTTTTTTTAGATCCACAAAAGTGATTTTATTAATAAAAATTTTAAAGAATAACAATATCTGTGTATATACAATACACATAATGCGCAAATATAAATTCATAAAAAAAATTTTTCAAAAAAATTTTTCAAAAGAAAACTACCGGTAAAAAAGCCCAGTTTTGTCCATATTATAGATATGGTCAAAAGGATATCCAGCACATTTATTTCACAATAATGGTAGGGATTCAGTTATAACATTTTTATCAACAGATCCTGCTTCTCCATGAAGCTTTATTTGACAGATTCCATTTCATTCTTTAAATTTTTGAAGCCACCTAGAAGAAAAGTGCAACTTGCCTTCAGAAACTCCAAGTTCATTTACCAACAATTTTGCTTTTTCAATCATCATAGCATTGCTTAGAATAGTATGATTTTGATAGATTAGAATGAATTTCTTAAGTGCTAGCTCAAGCTCTGATACAGTAACAGCCCTATGATGCTTAGTGTCTGGATTTGTAATTTCATTTGAAAGGTGCTGATCTTTAGTTTGCAAGATTTGTGTGATTGTGGATTTATTAACTTTAACTCCCCACTTCTCTTCAATCCAAGTCACATATTCTGGGCAGGTTCTCTTATTATCATGGGCATAGACACAGAATTCAAACTTTTGTGTGTCTGTTAGAGTTGTTCTTTTTGGCATTATTCAAAAAACGATAGAAGGATACAATAGTATTGTTTAGGGGAAAGTGCAAAAGTGTATTAATTTAGAGGAAGCCACTAAAGCGACAGATTCATTATTTAATACGTTTTTATTTTTTTATTTTTTTTTAATCATTGTTTTAGAAAAAATTTTTAATATTAAAGAGTTAATTAAAAAAAAAAAAAAATTAATAAAAAAGGTTTTTGATAAATATGCTATGGATAAGTTTAAAAAAAAAAAAAATTAAAAAAGAACACAATTAAGAATTTTGTATTGCTTGTGAATGAAGTTACAAGACATTATTGTGAATCACTGAACTGTGCAGGGGCCATGAGAACTTGAAATCTCTCATGCAAAATAAGCATATAAATGCTGCATAATGATGTAAGATTGATTGGTAAGGATTAAGTAACCTGATTTTCTTTGAGGTTCATTGTTCTTGTTTTTCGTTGCTTGATATTCACTCCCACTGACCCAAAAAGTAAAATGAAATAAAGTTTAAAAATTAAGTTCAAAAGAAGGATGATAGTGAGGTACAGCACATGACTTGCTCAGTGACCAAATCCCATACTATTTTACAATAATTTGATATATTGTTTGTCATGAAAGCTGTACATTCACAAAAGAAATAGGCTTCATAATGAACACTAATAATGCCTTAGATGGGAATAGAATTTATGTTGATTTGGAATTTATAAGTTTAGAATTAGGATTTTTAGTATAATTATTTCGTTCTAATTTAAGTGGATTCTGAACTCTATTATGGTTTTATTCCCACTTACAACAATAATTTAGTCATACATATTCAAACAATAAGTAATAGTTGAGTCTAGCTATAAACATTCTGCTGTAGCAGTGACACTTATCACATATTTTGCAATTTCGATGACTATTCTGATTGTCAATTAAAAAAGGCTTTAAATAAAAATTAATACTGTATCAAGATTACACAAACATCTGTAATACATCGCATGATTATTCGAAATTTTATTGGTCAGGACGATTTATTAGCACATGATAGTGCATTTATAGAGGGTATTCTAATAATAAAATTAAATGCACGTGCAGAATATAGAGGGTGTGCACTTAACATTATGGTCCCAGCTTGGGACCGGGCTTTAGGGTGCATTTATGAAGGGTGTGCATTTATAAAAGTGCACTTAGAAAAGTCTGACTGTATGAATCTATCGGCTTGCAGCTTCATACTTGACTTCAAGGTCTAGAGCCGAGCCATTTTTGAAGCCGATGCTTTATTAATAGACCTGGAGCCAAGCTATTAATCGGCTCACGGCTCAGCTCGAGCCATTTGCATCACTATCATGAAAAAGACACCCCTAAAAATTGTTCACCCCCTGTAATTTTGACCAATCGAATTTCAGAATCAGGTATAATGTAAAAATCGCAACGAAACTACTTTTTTACAAAAAAAACAAGAAAAACATTAAATTTTAATTAGGAAACCACCTTCTGCAGCCTAATTAAAAATGTTCGTCGTGATATTTTACTTACAAGTGCTATATTTTTCTAATCCTAACCCTAATTATAACACGGTTTTCTTGGTTTTCATTTTACACGTAACTTTTTTACTTAGAAATTTTAAAAATAACGTTGCACATCAGTTTTCTGTGCCAGGTTTTGTCGATCATGTGATGCAGCAAAATCTTTTAAAGTTTATTAATGTTAGGGTTAGCATTTAGAAGAAGGTTAGAAGTTAGTTATTTATATGTAAAATCGTTCAAGGAATATTTTTTGTTAAAGCGCCGAAGGTGTTTTTTATGCAGTTTTTTGAGAAATAAGCGATTTTTAACGAAACGAACGGTTGTTTTGAAATTTCCTGATCGTATTACGTTACACCTGATCCTTGAAATCTGATACCGATACATAATACAGATATTATCAAGACCCCCTGTAATTTTGACCAATCGAACTTCAGGATCAGGTGTAACTGATAGTGTTTGTCTTACCGTTACATCAATATAATAGATTTTTATTGTCAAGTACTTTTCCGCGTAGCTCTAAAGACCATGGCACGCGTTATATGGTTTGCGGTTGCTTTACTAATCTTGATATCGATATGCCTTTATTCTTACGAACCTTTTAGTACTTCACCTTTTTCAATATCTACGTTTCCAAAAACAAATAAAGAATTAGTTTCTCCGGATGTATTAAGCATTATGAAACTTCATACAAACTATGCTGCCGCTGCATACTGTTCAAGACCAAAATTAAGCAATTGGACTTGTGGTTATCGGTGTTTTGGTAACGTTACAGTCGAAAAAATATTCCATGATGAGCTTAAAGGTGCTTACGGGTACATCGCCGTTAGTGAGGAGAATAAGACTATCATCGTTGCTTTTAGGGGGTATGTTATGATATTGAATATTAAAATGAAAGGATTAAGTTGTTCTTAAAAAAATAAAATTAATTTAGGAGCCTGGATCTTGTAAACTGGATACATAATTTACAATATGCAAAACTTGATTATGAATTTCCCGGGATCGAAGGTTTGAAATACTATCGGTTGATTTCTAGAATTGCTAATTACTTTTGATATACTGATTTGTTTTGGATGATTTTATTACCAAAAATGTTTGTCTTGATGAAAAGATTCCGAAAATAAAAAAAAAAAAACTTACAAAAGACCCGGGTATATTATGCTGTAGCGGGAAGAAAGAGAGAAATTATTCAAAACAAATTAATATATCAAAAGTTATTAACATTTCAAAAATTAACCTATATAAATTTTCTGATATATTACCATTACTATATGTTTTATTATATTAAAAGTTGCAATTATGAAAAAAATTAAACATAGGTGCTTTGGTACATGGTGGATTTTATCATGCTTATGAACGTGTAAAGAACTCTATATTATGGACGATTCAGTGGATGATGACAAGAAAAGAAAATTCATGTCGTGGATATGATGTTGTTATAACTGGTCATTCTTTGGTTGGTTACCGTTAAAATTAATATTATCTTTTGTTTTTATTTTCTTCTATTAAATATGCATATGTTTGAAAAAAGGGTGGTGCCTTATCATCATTCTTAGCCATAGATATAAAGCGTTACATTCTTGATCCAATTGTCCTTTCATCAACTCAATCAACTCACTGGCTTCTTCCTTTTACAATTCATCTGACAACTATTGGCGAACCGAGAGTTGGTAATCACATTTATGCAAAAATATTACAGACACAGCTAATTTCTCAATCACCATCTTTAAAGCATAAAGTAACAAGAATAACTCATAAAAATGATGTAATAGTACATTTACCTCCATCGAAAGAGGGATTTATACATCATGTGCATGAATTATGGGTAAAAGATAATAAGCAATCTTTTTTTTGTGATGATATAGTAAAAGATTCTGAGGATCCAGTTGAGAATCCAGAGTGTCTTGCTGGTATTAAGTGGTTTGATATTAGTGTTCATTTATTCATTTGGAATACTACTTTTACAACTTTTTGTTAATATTAAATAAGATTTAATCTCAATATCTAATTCATTATTAAATATTTCTATTTTTTTTTTGTTTGTATAATTTTAATATTTTTTAGAAGTATAAGTATTAATGATGCAGGCATTTGTTAGGATAGTTACTACTCACGGCATTACGTTAATGACGTAGAGATCATAATATCTTTAGACTAAATTGCCATCATGTAGTATGTGGTAGTAGAGTAGTGAGTCGTTTGTGATGATGTATACCGTGAGTGATGCTGTATGCCGTGAATGATAACTGTAAGTGATAACTGATGCTCAAGAAAAGTTGCTTGTGTTTATATAAGTTGTACAATTTTAAGATCCTTAAATTTTTTTATTTTATTATTTAAAACAATTTTAAATTAGAAAAATAAAATATCCTTGAGTTGGAAGAAGAAAAAATGTTAGCATATTTCATTTTACAATCTTAGCTAATTTCTTGGAATTCTGAAGAGAGTGAATTGAAAAAGCATTAACAGATGTACTTTGCAAAAACATCTTTTTGACTTCTTGAGATCCTAAATAAGATAAATTTAGATCAAAAGAGAAAAGTACTGGTTGCATGTTGCAGAAATATCATGCTGAAGGATTCTAATTTTCGGTACAATAAACTTGGATTAGAAGAAAAATTACCAGTAGATGTATTTTGCAAAAACATATCTTAAAAAATTGAATCTTCAAAATAATCTTGGATCGGAAAGAGAAAAACGTTAGCAGATGCATTTTGTAAGATCACCATGGTGACTTTTTGGATCCTTGGAATAATAATCTTGAATCAGAAAAAAAATTAATAAATGCATTTACAATAACTCTATTCTGGTATTTTTGTTATACTATACATCGTTTGATTTTACTTTTTTTGCTTAAATTTAGCTACAATTAGGAATGCTAAAAAGTTCTATTCAGTTGACTTGGTTCTTAAAATCATATCAGTCAACCTGAAGTTTTGTTCATGCATAATAATGTTAAATGAATTGATTTTTAGAAAGTCGGTATTGATTAGGTCTAAAATCAAGAGGTCTGATAAGCTCGAACTAGTTTTTAATTGGTTCTATCAATATTGAAACAATTAACTTTATATATTAAAAGCATCATTCGTGTGTTTCTAGACTCTACTTGTAAGTAGTTATGAGTAAAACTCGACGTTTCCATGATTTGCAACTCAACTCTAATTACGGTTACATAATTTCTCCCATAATTTATAAGTGAAGAATCAAAGTTATAAGTAATTAACAATCGCTATATTGAAGAAATCTCATTCGTTGAGCAAAAAAATATAAAATAACAAATAATAATGGTAGTGTAGAAGAGAGAAATTAGTTTGTATTTTTTTTTTATTATATGTTTCACATAGAAATCTTTTAGAAAAATGAAAGTTTATACAAATAATATTAATTGTCAGAGATGATGCTTAAATTAAATAATACTGAAATTTAAGAACTTAATTTGAAAATATTAACCTATTAAAATCCACCTATACTCTTTTATTATAAATACTAACTCTAAATTCTAATCTAACTATTAAAAAAAAAAGCTAAACAAAATACTCCAAAAAATTTTAAATTTTTATAATAAAGTAAGTCAAAATTTTAGCATCATCTTTGACATTAATTACTATACAATTTATTAATATTATTATTATAGACTTTTAGGATATAATAAAAAGTTTATATGGATATATGCATAATGTATATTAAAAGCACAAAGGTTTCTTTTTAGATATTAGTTGTATAAAGTAAGATAATATAGTGTAAGATCTTAGAAATCTGAGATGTAGAATTATAGAATTAGATGTAAAGTTAGTTATATATAGATAATTGAAATTTTGTAAATTTAACTAGAAATTTTAATTAAATTTTTTTTTTTTTTTTTTTTTTTGATGTTAAGGTGACCTCTTGGTCATCTTCTTTTATTCAATTATTGTTAACTTTTACAGTAAAGTACGTATACCAAACCGTACACATATTTGGAAAGTACAACTAGCCACATGTGCAACTTTTGGTTGCCTATTTAAGTAAACACCCAGAAGGTTCTACACTAGCTACCGTATCTATAACCCTACCGAGTTACCCATTTAAACCCTCTGTGCCTATGTATATTAATCATCTAATCGAGCGAGGATACGCAGTACCCCCTTATTTTCAGACACCCAATTTAGAACTTTAAAGCAGGCTCTTATTGAACCCTTTATCCTCAAGATAAACCTGCTAGAGCCTTTTGTATCCATAAATCTGGCTAACCTAGACTTTTGGTAACTTATGCCAAGTCTGAGAACAAGTACTTGCAAGCCAAAACCACTACCATTACCTACTACCACCTTGTAGAGTTCACCCAAACCTCAGCACTCACTATATGAACTATCTCTTGTATACTCATCATCCCAAACTTCCAATTCAGATGGCCCTAAAGGGCTGTGACCTGCTCTGGTCCCCACAGTTGGATCCTTTTCCTCTAGTTACTTTTTGATGGACTGGTTGGTAGAGTGCCTTGCTAAATACTTCAGTCCTATTCAGTTTTCCAGTTTTCTGGTTGATAATCCTTTACGCAGTACTGTCAAAGGTCTGTGCTACCTCTCTACTTGGATCTTGCCAAGCAGGCTTCCATGTGCGCCAACCTTGGATTTACACAACTGCTTTACTCAGGTTTCGTGTAGCTTGTACATTACACTATTGTTTCACAGTCTCCCAGTACAAGCTGGTGTGACCTAGTTACAAATATCAATCCGTCTTTACACTTACAGTTGCCATAACACTGTACTAAGAATTCGAATTTTCGTCGCCGATAGGATTCGAACTCTGTTCTTGTCACTTGGGGTGCAACAACTTTACCACTTTACTAAGTCGCCACACCTTAATTTTAATTAAATTTTATTTTTTTTATTTTGTATAAAAATTTAATTTTGATTGGTTAATCAGCACATAATAATTTTTGTATAAGAGATCATTATTTTCTTGCTATATAGCCGATATTTTGGTCAGCTGAAATTTATATAGCTAAAAACAAACTGTTTTATCTACAGAACTTGAAATCAAAAACTTAGATATATTTAAATAAATAGGAATGTAGTATGGAGAATAAGTTTTTATATAGTCATATCCAAAGTCAGTGTGGAAACACAGCTTATTCGGTGAGCAATTCAGTTTGTTCAATGGATATATTTAAATCAATATTAGCTAAGAGATTATATTGTGGTTTCCTAGTTTCTGTTAGACTTGTTGGCTTAATTGAGGATAAATGAAGCTACTTATTTTGTATACTACTGTATCTGCAAACCTTTTTATTAGCATTTCTAACTATTTATAACTTCACTTTTCAGGATGTGAACTCTTAAAATGATGAATCAAATTTACCCAATAATTAATTATTATATTGATGTCAAATAGGTTACTTTTAGTTCAAACCATTTTATTATTAATAAGATTAAGTTATTTTTTTATTGTAATAGAATAGGAAAATTATATCTTAACATATTTTTAGTATTGATTAAACTGCTTCATTATTTTATTATATTACACAGAATATCAATGCCCACATATGATCAAAGTTTTTTTTTAATATTAATAAAAACTTGAAGTGAGTTAGATTATATATTTTATTTGCAGCATTAATAAAAATTTGGCATAAAATAATTTTTTATTATATATATAGAGTGTGTACTAATATGCCAGTTTTATGTATATAATAACATTTATATATTTTTTGATCGAAAGTATTTTATACTATATATCTTTCTGTATTAATAAATAATAAAGCTTAACTAGTTGATCTTAACTCATCCTAGAATCTATGGGTAGAGTTTGGTCTGGTCTGATTCGATTTCATAAGTCAAGTTTTAGTCTCAATACAGTCCTGAGTCAGGTTTGGCCAAGTTCAAATAATCTTATAATAGTCATATACAATATTAAATTATATAATAACGATAAAAGAGATAATATACTTTTAGAAAATTATACTGACACAGAATACAAGTGATTTATCTTCATTAAACACAAAAAATAATCAATATAAGTATTTAAAATTTTGAACAAAGTATCTCGCAAACCATTGTAGCAAATTTGATAAATTTTATTTTATTTTAGATGCTTATAGAATTAAAATAGATTGATCTTGCTTAGACAGTTATCAAGATATTTTTGTTTAAAGTTTGGTAAAATATATTTATTAGATATATAATCAAGGAAATTTTTTAAAAATTTGATAAAAATATCTTAAGAAAATCTGATCAAATTTTTTACTTTTATTGAAAAACTTAAATAAAAAAAATTATTAAATTTGTTTAGATAGTGTTGAGATATTTTTATTTAAAGTTTGACAAAGAATTAAAATATAAATAGTAGATAAAAAAAATTGTTTATATTTGAATGAAGATATCTCAGCAATTACTCAAGCAAATTTTATGAATGTTTTTTTTTCCTTTAGCAATCTTGTTTACTTTATTATAGGAACAGACTTTCTTCTTATATTGACATATGAAAAATCCAAATCTATAGTGTTTCTAACTAAAAAATAAACTTATCCATAGCATACTTCGCAGATGCTGTAACATCCATTTGCAGTTATAACAAACTATTAAACTGCTGTGTTTTGCTCAGTTGCAACCTGTCCAGCGAACAATTGACCTCCTCCAGAGATCTGTAACTTACTTCAGACTTATTTTCTCCAAATTCCTCAGCTGGCTGTTGTGCCACTTTGTCAAGATTCTCACTCTACAATAAAATGCTGTCAAACTGATTACATTTTTTCATAAGAAAGGAAAAAAGTAAAAAAAGGATAATAAGGAATGAAAAAAAGAGTATACTGTATAATAAAAACTAATACATCAAAGAAAATAGATACTAATACGAAGAAATATAAAAAAAATTAAACTAAAATCTAAAAGAAACTATAGCTAAAAGAAAAAAACTTGCTAACCAGATGAAAACTTCTAATTATACAGAGTAACAATTTACTATTAAGTGTTAGAGTTTTGATAAGAAATTTAAAACTAA